AAAGCATGTTGTGTTTCAGCCCGTGCTGGTTCCCCCTTAAGGGCAGCTTTCGCTGGTGCAAAACGGCCTACATCTTCTGTACATGTTCACGGGCGGATGAAGTCCCCATTTCGTACCTGTTTGTTATTTTGTTTGGATGCCCCACTTTCCTCACAGGGTCCAAATCAGGAGTTGAGTCCGGAGGAAGTCACATCGAGTCATATCAAGAAACGAGCAGGGAGTTATGAAGAGAGCAAAAGCTTGGAGAGAACTACGGAATGGCTGGCCCACCACTGCTTGAGAGGATGGCTAACTTCTTTCAGCCGGAGCTGCTGCGAGTGAACCACTACATCGATGCGTTAGGGCCGCGCTCGGGCTCGCAGGTATTCAAGCACCAGGACGGGCGGCTAGTTTAGTTTGGAAGGGTGCTGGACAAGACAAACAGCCATGGAAGCAACTCATCGCGTTTGACTGCCACTTTTGCAATGATGATGAGCAATTTAAGCATTTGAAGCACACGCTACGCTGGAGTATTCCACAAACGTCCTTGGGCCCACTGGCCTGAGAGGCTTTGTAATATATCAAAGCTTTGCTTGATGCGAATCTCAAACCTGACGTATGAAATGTTTCAACTGTCCAGGATTGTGACATATTTTATACTGGTAGGGGTCGATCCATGAGTGTACCTACCCGAAATGTGTATGCTGGCTGATTTAGTAGTAAGTCATATATGTGTACTGTGCAACTGATGTTTAACATACTGTGCAAACTGTGTGAGACTGGTTGTACTGGCCTCACAGGCCAACTCGCGGCTTTCACTGGTGACACGCTTTGTTAGAATTTCTGCAGGGCTATCCTCAGAACGCACCTTGCGCACTGTACTGGTTTTGTTTTTGACAAGTTGTTGCATGCAAAGGTGTAGTACTTCAATGTGTTTTGCTGTCTTTGATGTACCAGTATTGCACATCTGCCATTGGTCCTTAAAAACCATAGGTTTTCGATGGTTGTCTTGCATTTGCCTTGGTTGCTTGAAGTTTCGGTAGTATGTATGTTTTGTCAAGCCCTTGGTTGTCTCCCAACCAGCTTCTTTCGTAAAGAGGCCGAACGAAACAGAGGCGACTAGCCCACACGCATCAAAGCAAACAGCATGGTGCCAACCAGCCTTATTTGACATGGCCTTTGTCCTTATGCTGGTTTGGTCAGTGCTGCCAGTGTTCATGCCAGTTGTGACTTGCCCAACGGACTGCTCTGTTGCTTGCAAGCAATCAGTGAGTGTATGTGCGCGTGTGCCACATATGCATGTGCACGTGCCGGTGGCATGCGGCTGCGCACGCGCACAGCTTGCCATATAGGGTGCCAGATGCTCTTTGAAAGAATTGCTATATGATGCTACAATGCTCGGAGCAGCTCAGAAGCCGGGATGGTCAAGCAAAGGCGGAGCGTGGTAGGCGCATTCAGCTTTGCCTTCTGGGCTGCGCATGGTCTTGGCGGCCTGTCCGGGACCATGCGTCAATGACTTACCATCTGAGGTAGAGTTTCGGCACATTTGATGTAGTGGGCCAGCTGCTAGGTGAGAGATGTGATCCTGGCCGAAATTCTTGGGATCGATTCGTGAGTGTACCGAGTACTGAGTATAGGTCTCTGTGCGTGTTGAGTGTGTCTGTGTGTGTCTGTATATGGTTGTGATGTGTGTGTGTGTGCGCGTTTGTGTGGTTGTGCGTTTGCGTGTGTAGTTGTTTGTTTTTTGTTTTGTGTTTATGTGTTTATGTGTTTGTTTGTTTGTTTGTTTGTTTGTTTGTTTGTTTGTTTGTTTGTTTTTTCTTTGTGTGTGTGTTTTGTTTGTTTGTTTGTTTGTTTGTTTGTTTTTTCTTTGTGTGTGTGTGTTTTTTTTTGTTTGTTTGTGTGTTTGTTTGTTTGTTTGTTTGTTTGTTTGTTTGTTTGTTTGTTTGTTTGTTTGTGTGTATGTGTGTATGTGTGTATGTGTGTATGTATGTATGCTTGCTGTGCGTCTCTGTCTTTCTTTCTTCTCTCTGTGTCTCTCTGCGTCTCTTTGTGTTTCTCTGTGTGTCTCTGTCTGTGTCTCTGTCTGTTTGTCTCTCTGTTTGTGTGTGTCTGTGTGTGTGTGTGTTTGTGTGTGCTCTGTGCGTGTTTTGCCCGTCCTTGGGCGCTTGTGTTTTCACCTCGGTGTTTTCACCTCGGTCTTCTCACTGGGGCCCCTTTTCTTGGGGCAGGCCCATTGACAGATACCGCAGGACCATCCAAAGCTGATGGCCTGGGCTATTGCTGCGCTATCCGAGAGAAGCCGCGGGAGAAGCCTCGTGGGACCGGCGGCGGTGGCGGCGCGGTACATGTCACCGGCAGAGGCACGCAGCCGGGGGGTGGCCCAAGTGGGGGGCCAATGGGTATGGTTTTTTTTTGAGGGTACCAATTTTGGGCTTGGTTTGAAGGGAAGCCAGAAGGAAACCATTTTGACACATCCCCGATGGAGTTCTCCTCCGGCAGAGCTTGTTGTTGTGCCGCGTAGGGCGTTTGGCACAAGTGGACTCGATTGAAACAGAGGGTTTCCGGAGAGGCGCTTGTTGACATACTTGCACTGCTGCACTGACCGGCGCTTCTTCATAATGGCTTGCAGCCGACACGCATGGCAACCATATGATTCTGATGCCATACGATGACACGATTAAGCCCAAAAGTTTGCAAACACCGTGCATGCCTTGTTGCCCGCGTACCAGAGTATGGCTCATGCATTGAACTCAGCTATCAGAAGTGATGCTTTGCCAACGGCATGCTTGGTTGCGTGCGATATTCAATAGTAATGAGTATACCAGTTTTGCGGTTGTAATCCCTGCCCCTTTGTTGGCCCAGCCCACCTGCGATTTTTTCGCAATGCGTCACACATGCGTCACACCACTGCCAGCTAGCGCACAGAAGAGGTTGCGCCAAGCGCCATCTGATTAAGTGAGGTGCTTGTGAGAGAAACTTCCAAATCATGTCTTGCAATAGTTAGCACATATCAAGGGTATTTTGGCACAAAACCTGCCTCCATACCGTCGGCCGTCGAGCTTTTCTTTGTTGTCCCAAGGGCATTGCGTATTTTCCTGGAATTAGTCGCCAGGGCTCGAGCCTTGCGGACAGCGTGGTGGTTGCTGCCGGGCGCATGCCACCTATTGTGCGTGTGGCCTTTGGCATGGCGGAGGTGGATGAGGAGCAGCGCCTGAGCTGCATGCTAATTAGAGCTATGCGGACTTGGGGTGCAAGAGGGGTCCTGTTTGGACCTTCGTGCGTTCTTGTGCCGGCATGTCTCGGCTTTTCAGGAGGTCCAAAAAAGGCCCACAATTTCAGAACCTGAAACGGATAGGTTAGAACAATGACTAAGGGTACCTCTTTGGCTGATGCTGTGGCGCGAATCAGAGGCTGCAGTTTGGTCGTTTCCCGCGGGGCCTGTGCCAGTCACAGGATATGACGCGTTTCCAGGAACACTCCCCAAAACTTGTGAAACATAAATCCATCATTCAGGATTCAAGGCTCAATTGACCAGAAAGCTGAGACGCCAAGGTATGTGCTCAAGGTGCTAAGCGATGGCTTCTGGAAAGGCGATTTGGACTCAGATGGCCTTTGGTCCAAGGAGGAGCGAGAGCCATGAGCTCATTGGATTTACTCATTTGTTCTGACTGTAAATTCGCACAAGCCGAGAGACAGCTGCAGGCTTTGTTTTTGCGTGTGTGTTTGAATGCTGAGAGAGGTTTGTATTCTTGAGGGCTTGAAATTGGTGGCTGTTTTCAACGGAAAACGTGGGCACACCGTTCAAAGACGCTGTGCCATCATTGACATGCAGCAGCTGTAAGGCATCAGCCTCCATTCCGAGCAAGCTCTTTGGGATGTTGACAGGGCCCCTTACTTTTCCCTTGGTTCAAACATTGCCTTTTGGCCTACATTATTCGCACGGGGACAGATGGGACGGGGCCCAAGCGTGGCTTTTGAGGAGTTCGAGGCTTTCGCTCAACCCCAGGGCTGGGATGCCCACCTGCGGCGCAGGGACTTGCATTACATCGGCCTCTTCCTGCAACCCGGTTCGGCTTGACCTGTCTACCCGGAAGGTTCCTGAATGGTGGATTTGATCTTGGGCACGTGCTTTTTGTTCTTGAGGTTTCGCGAGGTGTATATTTCTTGAAGGCTCGTTCACAAAGTGAGGAGGTGGGCGTTAAGATTTTTCCCAACAGGGGCACCATTTTTTTTGTCACATGGGTTTGTTTGCCCAGACTTTCTGGATTCTCGTCGGGTTGACCTTGAGCGCTACGTAACAAAGGTCTTTTAGTTTTCCGACAAGGCAACCCAAACGGGACGGGGAACTTTGTTCTATGTGTGCCAGACCTTGTTTTGAGACCCGGCTGAGGCATTCCTGGGCTTCCCCCGAGCTGTTTGCGTGGGTCGACGCGGACCTGGACAGCCGCCTCACGTCCGCGGAGTGGTCCGAGGGGATGCTTTGGCTCGTTCGGCGCCGCGAGCTGAACGCCACGGCGCAGCAGCTGCTCCGTTTGGCGGAAGTGCCGGTCGTGGAATCGGATCAAAAGAGGGCGAGTCCGGGGGCGGGTGGGTTCAGTGGAGGGGTGGGCTTCAAAACTCAGATGTCATGCTGGGTTTGCAGGAGGTCTTTGGCTCTCCTTCCATGCATGTTTCCCAGCTAGGGGTAGGGGTTTGCAGGTGCTACGCCAGCTTGGTGTAGATTTTGGCGTGGGCTCAACGGCCTTGAAATGTGTATGAAAGGGGCCAGCTTTCAACCAGCCAGCTGAATTGAGGCAATTGACACGTCAACTTGGGTCGCATGATCCTTCCGGGATTTGCCCCGTGCAGAAAAATTGTTGGTCACCGGGCGCCTGCTGGAGCGCATGAATACACCAAATGCCGGTGAACTAATTGCCAGCGATGCAAACGTTTCAGGTTCCTTCAAGTCGAGGTCCATGGCAACCGTTTTACACGCTTGCCACCCCGGTTGCCCGAAGCCGGTGTGGGTCCTTAGCCAGGCTTGTGAGCACCACAGCATCCCGATCTCACGGAATGAGGCGGAGGCGCGAATGGAGGAACAGCAATTGCCAGTCGCCAGGGTTCGCCCACTGTTTGGCACACCTGGCATGTAGGCTGGTGGGACTGATCGCACGCACATTTTGCGATGAGGCAACCGTCACGGGTCACATTTGACCTGGCTTGTTTGATGTTTGAGGGACTTGCTCTTCAGGGCCACTGGTTCCGGGACCCAGCTTGCAATTTTAGCGTTTGCAAGTTGATGTTTATAATCGGCTGTGTGTTTGCGCCCCTCCTCCCTTGTCGTGCGCTCCGACTGTTCTAGCGCATGCCTTTTGAGATGGGCCATGTTTGCAAGCAAATGCGCCACTCCTATGGCCACTACCTCCCATTCACGCCATTCATTTGCCAGGCCATCTTTGCCCGCCTCGGCCGCAGCACTGGTCAGGGCATGCGCCTCACTTTCCAGGCGGCCTGTAGCGCGTCCGTGCGAAGGTCAGGGATGCCAGCCGATAGCCCGCAAGGGCGCAGCATGACCAGGAGGTATCCCGGTCACCCAAAAGCGACTTCCCCAGGGGATTTCAGGTTGGTCGTGGCCTGTCTGCATAAAAGGCCTGTCAACACAATGCATCGACGGTTTGTTTTGCGTCATGTTTCTTACTTTGTTGCCGTAGCCGACAGCTTTCCTTCAACATCAACCAGCAGCTAGCAATTAATCCCGGAGCCGCCCTGCCCTCGGCGGGCAAGCGATTTGGATTTGCCAGGATCTGGACACGGAGTCACTCGGCTGGGCAAGGGGTGCAACTCTCCGGGGATCGGTTAGATGGGTTTTTGGTTGATCACGATGTCTTTCTTACAAGGCAACCCCCTGGTGAACTAATTTTGTTGATCAGGGCTTGTTCTATCAGCTGCGACGATTTGCAACCACCCCCCTCCCCTGACCCGACTAGCAGCTTCCTGGTCTTGGACCTGGGTCAGGTTGTGTTCGATTGAAAGGGGCGCAGTGGCTCCCAACTGTTCGTCTCGTGACTGGTCAAAATTTGCGACTACATGGCTTGACAATTTTGGAGCTTAATGTTGTTCTGGCCGATTCCTCGCTGTGGGGTGACAACCTGAGGGTTTGTGCAGAATGCGCCAAGCGAGGGATGACAGCCTTGCGCATGCTGCCAACCTGCCGTGTGTCCAATAACAAGGTATGATATATTATGAGGAGAATAGTATCACGGTCATTTAGCCCACCAAGTTTTGCAGGTGCAATGTTTCATTCAGGTCTCAAACGCATGGGGCGACTTGTGTTTCTTTGCACTGTTTGCCCTCAACAGCTTCTATGATTCCGTGCAATTGTTCGATTTGATGAGTGCTATACAGGTTCCTGCCCAATTTGGGTTGGCCTGTTGGTATTTTACCTTCAGAATGTGAATTGGGGACAAAGTATTTCTGGAAGATTATACGTATGTATATATATATATATACATCGTCTTTCACTTGGCTGCACTGCAGCACACGACTTAGGAGCTCTTCTTTGCTAGCCTTCCCAAGCTTTTTGGGTGCTTGCATGTTTGCTTGCTCGCTTGCCGAACATGCCCCCTGCTGACAGGCAAGAAACCATTAGCCAAAGCAGATGCACAAGAACCTGGATTCAGGTCGTCACACAGCAACAAAACTTGGACATCCCCAAGTACAAACCTCAGGTTACTGCTGCTTTGTTTTAGTTGTCACTTCGCCATAGGTTGCAAAGAATTCCGGAGCGCCTGGAGGATGCGGGATGCGGGGACGGTTGGTCATATTCCTCGAGAATAGATACCTCCCAACATGCCCAATGAAGGCTGCATCGGGTGGAGTTGAGTGCCCGGCAATGAGCCCCACGATTGGCTTGCCAAGCCTTGCATTGTTGGCATTCGCTTGGCTTTCCTCACAAACGACGGCCCGTGCGTGTCCAAACCTTTGAACTGTTTGCGCTTTCCGGGGGAATGGATTGCGTTGCAAGTGTTTGCCACTGTTTCGTTCAGAAAGGGCCATGACAGAGCATGTAGGACGATGTAGAAGAGCGTTGGTTTATTGTATGCCTGGAAGTTGTAGAAGCTGCAACGGGGCGAAGTGGTCTGGTTCCAAGCCATTGTTTTGATTGAATCGGTGCTTGTGATTGCGCGTCGCTTATTTGTTCTCACTTCAGTTTCCTTTTCTTCTCCAGCACCACACGGCCCGCAGCCAAGCAATTTACCATCCCATTTGAGTGTGTGACGGTGTGTCAACGTTGAGAGACTTGTTGGTTTCCTTTCGGTGTCCTTGCCAGCAACCTCCCAAGACGGGACCCTTTTGAGTTGGCTTAAACGGGCAACCAGGAGGAAGCCAGCACATTTCTGACATCTCCCATGGGTGCCCATTCGTTTGACCAGCCTCGCATTCCCAGCCTCGCCTTCCAGGAGCTCTCCAGGGCCAAGGAGATGATTGTCGTCGCTCGCACGAGAGACTAACTGCTGGGGGAAGAACGGCGTTTCTTTTTGAGGGTATTTGTTTGGGATGCTCAGGGAACCGAAAGTTTTTTGTTTAATACGTATATACATATATAGATATATAGTATTATTATTTTTATTTTTTTTGGGGGGGGTCCCTACATTCTGAAGCATTCCCGCATAGAGTCTGGCAGGCTTCACGTTTTGGAAGCTTGAGCCGCGAAGATGACCAATAGCCCTGGGGATTCCGGTTAGGGGATGTCAGCACTTGGCCGCCCCCCCATTTGAACCTAGGCCAGCTCCTCTTGAGGGGGAAGTGGCCACAGCGCCCTTCTTGGCGAGCAACTACAACAAGTGCAAACAAACAAAGGCAGCGCACACAACAATTCGAGATGGTGCCACCCTGCATTATTACTTGTTTATGTGTGTGTGTGTGTGCGTTTGCGTGTGTTGCTGTGTTTGTGTGTGTGTGTGTGGGTGCGTGCGTGCGTGCGTGCGTGCTTGCTTGGCCTTGCTTGCTTGCTTGCTTGCTTGCTTCCTTGCTTGCTTGCTTGCTTGCTTGCTTGCTTGCTTGCTTGCTTGGCCTTGCTTGCTTTGCTTGCTTGCTTGCTTGCTTGCTTGCTTGCTTGCTTGCTTGCTTGCTTGGCCTTGCTTGGCCTTGCTTGGCCTTGCTTGGCCTTGCTTGGCCTTGCTTGGCCTTGCTTGCTTGCTTGGCCTTGCTTGCTTGCTTGGCCTTGCTTGCTTGGCCTTGCTTGCTTGCTTGCTTGCTTTGCTTGCTTGGCCTTGCTTGCTTTGCTTGCTTGCTTGCTTGCTTGCTTGCTTGCTTGCTTGCTTGCCTGCCTGCTTGCTTGCTTGCTTGCTTGCTTGCTTGCTTTGCTTGCTTGGCCTTGCTTGCTTGGCCTTGCTTGCGTTGCTTGCTTGCTTGCTTTGCTTGGCCTTGCTTGCTTTGCTTGCTTTGCTTGGCCTTGCTTGCTTTGCTTGCTTGCTTGCTTTGCTTGCGTTGCTTGCCTTGCCTTGCCTTGCCTTGCCTGCTTGCTTGCTGGTGTGTGTGTGTGTGTTGTGTTTGTATGTGTGTGTGTGTCTGTGTTTGATGCTGAGAGGTTTAAAGGCAAACAGCCATGATTCCCACCATTTTGGGGTCTCCCTGTTTTCACAACATACCCATACGTGGGTGTTCTGAATTTTATATTTACTATCCTTGCCTGAGAGCCGTGCAAAGGCCATGAACCATGTGCTGGTAGAGAAGCACGGCAGCAGCATCTAGGATGCAAGAGAGGGCGCTTTCCCGGATTGTTGGCCTGGGAATGGCCACGCAACATGTTCATTAAGTGGACATGTTTTCCAATAGTGGTTTGACTTATTTGGATTTCGATTCCTGCTGCCAGTCAGTGGGCAGTATGAAACCTACTGCGTATGTCATTCAACGCGATTCTTACTTTTTTTACGTTTGCCCTCGGACGTATGGCGTGGAGGTGTGGCAAATGATGTTGGCAACCTGGACCTGGGCTGCAAACATTTATGCTGTGCTGCGTGGCGGTGAGAAGCAAACATGTTTAGAGCATATAGACCACCACCGTGTGGGAGTGCTGCAACTGTAAAGGCATTTTATGCCTTGATGTTTGCTGGGCTGGGTTGGGATATGAAGGCATCAACATGTTCTCACAGTTTCAGCAGCAAACGTGCCATGCAGGGCGCACTTTACATGTTATGACATGTCTCTACCAACCGGCATCAAAATAGTCCCTGGACTCTGCCGAAGCACTGGGTGCCTGCTCTTCTGGTCTGAATGGTTTCTTTGGCTGACCCGGATGTCACTTGCAAGGTTTGGAGGCGATGCTGGAGCAGATGGGCCACAACCTCAGACTCGTTTGTTTTGAGGTGGACATCAGATCGACGGCGCGGATTCATTGTCATAGGTACTGTGTTCTGGGAACAGACGCTTTCCTGTACCTGAGGACCTGTACTGTCATTTGCTGAAAGCTTCCCTGGATCGGGTTTCGTTTTTGTGGATAGGTTAAAGTTTTGCGGCAGTCGTTTGAAGCATGGCCGGGAATGAGGGACCCCTTAAAGGCAGCGACAAGTGCAATGGTTGAGCTTGCAAAGTGCGACATGCCACACCCCAAGCATTGGCTTGTGAGCTAGTCAAGTTTCGCATCCTCCCCACCCGTCCAGGCCAGGAATGCGTGCAACACACCGACATGCGCAAGGCGCGGGTGGCCCGAAGGTGAAGTTTTGCGGGCTTGTCCCTTTGCCAGACTTGCTTCCTTTCGTTTTGCTCCGTGGCCAGCATCACGTTATAGATCAAGTTCATTGTGCCTGCAGGGAGCCTATAGCTCAGACAAAGCCTACCTGCCGTCGGACCGAAGTAGCATCTTGGGTTGGCTCCATGCGAGGGGCCCTCTGACTCTAAGAACAGGCACCCATCCCTTCACTTCAGGCAGGAGACAGAGTGCAAACACTCCACCGCAGACATCCCGACGCAACGTTGCACAGAAAAAGGGTGGCACGACCCAGCACGCCTGCTTTCGGCCATGGGCTTGTTCTTGACCTGTCCAATCTTTTTTTTGTTCGAAGGCTTCCTGCAGCAGCGACAAGCAACAAAGCAGCCCCCCAGATTGGCTTTCTTGCACTCCATTGCAAAACTTTGCGGCCCTTTGGCCCACGGCCCGTTGAGAAAGACTCATTTGTGGCCTAGAAGGCAAGGGCTCACTTCCAAGTTCAGCTGCCAGGTGTTTTCCTACTCCCGGCCCCTGAGCGATCCGCAGTGGGCAGCGCTTTTGCACCTCGGAGTTCATGGATCGGCCTTTTTGTGCTTGTTTGTTTGTTTGCTGCTGCCATTGAACCCAGGGTGAGACCTGATTGGTCAGGGGTGTCTTTGTTTCATGTTTTTTTCGTGGGTCCTTTACTTTGTGGACTGGCAGCCCCTGTGAATACGTGGCTGGAGGCCCTTCTTGGACAAGCGACCTGATGGTCAAATTCTTTGGCCGCGGCCCCGGCCCGAAGAGGCCTCTTGGACGACTGCAAAATGGATTGCGGCCTCCCTCCAAGTGCGCTTTGAGAAGTCTGTGTGCCTGCGCCATGCAGAAGCCGGCACTTAGTCGCCCGAGTCGCTATCTCCATAGTTATTGGCAAGCTGGAGCGCAGCTGCACTGTGCCATTTGTTGCCTGAGGCGATCGGTCCTGGCCTGGGCAGGGGTGATCCGGCCAGCCTGCCGCCTTTGCTCGAACAGACAAGCATGAAAAATGGTGTTTGGCTGGAAGGAACACATGGTGTTTGGTGATGCGCTGCATGAAGTCTTGCTCCGGTGCTGGCTGCAAAGCTGCTGAAGGGTACCTGTTGTGTCAAAATGCCGCCAGGCCAAGAGCCTCTCCCACTTCAAGCCCCGTAGCAGAGGCGAGGCCCCGGCAACGCAACCCATCCTACCCAATCAGTTGAGGCTCCCAAACCCTAGCCGCCACCCCCAACTGCTCGGGCATTGTGGCATGTCAAACTAGGGGGACCCTAAAAATTGTTGTTTTACCTTTGGTTTCCCTAACCAAGCTGGACAGGCGTCACTTGGTGCCCCGGGCACCTTTTTGCGATGGTGCGTCGCAGGCGCCGGCAGCTCCTTCTAGACCAGCCGCTGGCCCGGTGTGTGCGTGCTCTGCTCTGAGGCCTGCAAGGTTGGATTTTCTGATCCGTTGCCGTTTGTAGCAGGCTATCAGGGCCAAGGCGGCGACCCTGACCTTTGCGAGCCTTTGGGTCGTTGATGGCTGGGGAATTTGGTGTGCAGTGTGCCACTGATGAATTCTTGTGATGGAACTCCTTTGTGTTTCGTGACAACTTGTCGGTCAAACCATTCCAGTGGCAGATGCAACAAGATGCAACAGGGCATCCAAACATCGGACAATGGGCGATCAGATCGTTCATGACTTCACAGCGGGCGCTCCTTTTACCTTCGGCGGGCAATCCCGCTACGTGATCGCTATTTGGCCGTATTGTTCATCATTTCCAAAGCGCAGTCAGTTTCGACTGCGTTGTCCTGACTGGTATGCTGCTCGGCTTCCAAGAGCCGTTGCAGGCTGCCAAGTGCATTTTGATAGCATTTGATGGCTTTGCCCTTGAAGCAAATGATCCTAGGGTTCATGGTATGTGAGCATCACGCGGATTTGACATAGCGCAGTAAAGCAGCCTTGCGACCCTGGGTCGGCCAGTGAGGCTTCCACGCCTGCCATCCAGCCACAGCAGGTGCCGCATAGGCGCTTGGGCTATTGGCTAATGGGTGGTGAGCCTTTGGGTGAACCCTGTTTTCCTCATTGAGTGTGTGTGTGTTTGGGTTTGTGGGACGGCTTTGCGACTACCACATTATAATGGGTTTTCCATCAGCTCTAAGGGTGAATTGCTATTCAGCCCTGTTGCAAGAAGCATTGCCCCAGAGAAACGACAACCAGAGTGTGTCTTGTTTTGGTTTTCCCTTCAAAACAAACCTAAAAAAAAGGGTACCCCCAAAACCTGACGGAGGCCGCGAACCCGAACGTCGACATATACCCCAAAAGCATGTCCAAAGGCACTCCGACAAGACAACTAGACAAACTACCCTTGAAACTTGAAAGCCATCCACACCCCCGAAAAACACAAAGCATCCTCAACGACATGCCCAAAAGCATATCCGAAGATATCCTCGCAAGCGCCCCAGCACCCCCAAAGACATCTCGGAAGATATCCCTCGAGACGTGGCTAAAACACCGCGGAAGACATCCCCAACAGATATGTTCAACGACATGTTCGAAAGACAAATCTCCAGCGACAACCCCAAAAGCCACCCTGCAAGACACAACACAACGACGGCCCCCAAAGACAACCCACCAGAGACTTTCTAAACCGACATTTTGTGAGGCATTCCCCAAGGCATTTTTCGAGGCATGCCCCGCAGATACCCGCAATAACAAATCTTAAGCGAAGACCCTGTAGATGCCACCAGCGGCCCCTATTGACAATTCATCCAGAAACACATCCCCAAAGACATCCCCAAAGCATCACATCACTCAAGACAACGCAAACGACAATCCTCGCAGACACCCCCAAAAGAAATCCCCCTGAAGACTTCCGCCCAGACCAAATATGACTTTGGCAGTCACTCACCCCCAAAGACATCCCCCAAGGACATCCCAGAACACCCTCGGAAGACATCCCCGAACACATCACCCAGGACAAGGGCAAAGACGTCTCATACGTCTCTAAGTAAACCCCCAGAAAAACCGCCGCAAAGACATCGATATCCCCCGCAGACAGCCCCCCAAAACCCCTAAAACCCCTTCCAAAGAGAACCCCAGAGACACACTCGGAAGGCATCCCCAAAGACATCACCCAAGACAACCGCAGAACCCCCAAAGATACCCTCCAAAGGCAAACGCAAAAGCAGCCCCCAAGACATCCCCTGCCCCAAAGGCATCCCCTTCCCAAGACGACAATGCCAAGTCCTGACCCAAGAGAACTGCCAAGACATCCCCAAAGACACCGCCAAAGTCAGCCCCAAAGTCAGCTCCAAAGTGCGCGAAAGGCGCTAAAGAGCTGCGCCTGCCACGAAGTTTGAACAAAACACAGCGACGCGCTGCGCCTGTCACGCAAAGTGAGATTGCTACGAACTCAAAATCGCCCAAAGTACTGCGCCTGTGACGATATCCGACTTTGACACCTGTACTTTACGACACGCATCCCAAAGAGGCACAAGACTGTGGCGCACGGGACTGCACCAGAACGATTTCGCGCTATGTTGGCAAATTTAAAGCTCACCAAAACGCGCCGATTGCACGACGGGGCCAGCGAAAATGACACCCGGGAATGCGCGCGCCCGCCAAGGCAAAGCACCTCAAAACGACAATCCCTGCAACAAAAAAATGCGATGGCGCGGCAACATAAACGCGCCAGCCTCCAGAACGCAGCGCTCGCACAACGAAACAGCACGTTACGTCTCAGAAGCACTCCTGTCCCCAGATCCCCAACCTCTGAAACGGGAACCCTTCTGCCGCATTCGGGAAAAGACGCACCCTGTTTGCATTTCCAGGCCGATCGGTTCTGTCCCGGCCCTGCGCTGAGTGGGATGGTGGACGGCGCAAGTGGCCCTGGTAAGAAGTGCTCATAAAACCCACGCCTACCGCGCACTCCAGCCATGGTCTTGTAGAGATGGCAGATATGGTGGCATGAAATTGTAAGTCTCCAGCGGCAACATGCTCCCCAAAATCCCCAAAGAACATTGTTCCATTTGCGGGCAATTTTCTCGAGGGCTTGAGTTGACAGCCATGACTCCTGGCTTTGCATTTATGGAGCTTCGACTGCAGGCCGCTTTTAGCCCCGCGCTCAGAGCGCTTGGTTTGGCTCTTCTGCTGGGATATTTGGAGCCCATTTTTTCTGTCAGGGACAAACCTTTCGTGGTACTGGCTGCACATTGCGCAGCTTCTGCTGCACAATCTTACGCCTGTGAGGCTTACGGCAAAACATGCCGACTCAGTGCGATAGTGCTGGTGATGCATTTTTGCTGAAGTCCTGGCAGTTGAGAATCAAGTAGCACCAGTGGCGCCGCTGGGCGTGAGAGCAATGCATGAGGCAAAGTCCCTTCATTCTTTGGCCTTTGGTGTGGGTGTGGGTGTGGGTGTGTGTGGGTGTGTGTGTGTTGTGTGTGTGTGTGTTGTGTGTGGTGTGTGTGTTGTGTTGTGTTGTGTTGTGTTGTGTTGTGTTGTGTTGTGTTGTGTTGTGTTGTGTTGTGTTGTGTTGTGTTGTGTTGTGTTGTGTTGTGTTGTGTTGTGTGTGTGTTTGTGTGTTTGTGTGTTTGTGTGTTTGTGTGTTTGTGTGTTTGTGTGTTTGTGTGTTTGTGTGTTTGTGTGTTTGTGTGTTTGTGTGTTTGTGTGTTTGTGTGTTTGTGTGTTTGTGTGTTTGTGTGTTTGTGTGTTTGTGTGTTTGTGTGTTTGTGTGTTTGTGTGTTTGTGTGTTTGTGTGTGGGTGTGTGTGTGTGTGTTTGTCAGTGTGTGTGTGTTTGTGTGTGTTTGTCAGTGTGTGTGTGTGTGTGTGTTTGTGTGTGTGTGTTTGTGTGTGTGTGTGTGCGTCGGTGTCTGTGTCTGTGTCTGTGTCTGTGTGTGTGTGTGTCTGTGTGTGTGTGTGTTTGTGTTTGTGTGTGTGTGTCTGTGTGTGTGTCTGTGTGTGTGTGTGTGTGTCTGTGTGTGTGTTTGTGTTTGTGTGTGTGTGTGTGTGTCTGTGTGTGTGTTTGTGTGTGTGTGTGTTTGTGTGTGTGTGTGTGTGTTTGTGTGTGTGTGTTTGTGTGTGTCTGTGTCTGTGTCTGTGTCTGTGTTTGTCTCTCTGTCTCGGTGTCTGCCTGTGTCTGTCTGCATCTCTGCCTGTGTCTGTCTGTGTCTGCCTGTGTCTGCCTGCGCCTGTCTGTGTCTGAGATTCTCTGTGTCTGCTTGTGTTTGTCTGTGTGTTTCGTTTGTTTGTGTGCGCCTGTGTGTGTGTATTTGTGTGTCTGTGTCTGTGTGTGTGTGTGCGTGTTGTTGGGGCGAGCCTCCTCACCTTGTTGTCAAAACACCAAACAAAGGGGTCGCCCAGTCTTGACATGCCCAGATGCTGCAGGTACATTTTTTATTGACACGCGACCAGGCGGCCCGGCCACATCTCCATCGCTTGCGCCGCCAAGTGGGGCACTGAGTTACCACGCTTAGCTTCCCTTCTTTAAGCGGAAGGGTGCCAATAGACCACGCGTCGGTGCGCATCGATGCAGACATGTCCCATTGCCTTAGTGTCCGCATGTACGAGTGTAATTATGTGCAGCGGTGCTCGATGGTGGTTTGCGGGACTAACGCCAAATTAGAGGGCCATGAGGTCCGTGCGCAACTCGTGGCCTGCAGAAACTGTGCGAACAGGTGTCAAGACCTGCTGCTGAGGCCAACCGGTGGAGGCGGTCCAGGCTTGAACTCTGCCGCTTCATGGCTTTGTGGTTTCTTGGCCGGCTCCGCAGCAGCATACTGGTAGGTGTACTGGTAGGGCTGGAGAATCTGTTTTTGCTTCTGCAAGTTCGGGTGATGGCCTCTAGTGAGATGACCATATCTGCAAACATGTCAGTGCCTACCCCTTATCAAGCGGAAGCAGGTGGAACGGGATAAGCCACAACTACAGAACCACGCTAGGAGCCATGTTGCAATTCTGGGTAATTACCCTTCCTAGTGCATACGGGCCAGACCTGCTTTAGAACCCCCAGAGTGTAGAGTGCAAACCTCGCACAAGGTCTGTGGCTATTGCCAAGATTCACCGGGTCTTAGGATTGCCAATCTATCTCAGCTGGCGCAGGAGCCGAACTTGAGTTGCATTGAAAGCAAGTTGCCCGCTTGTGCCATGGCTTGCATGTGCGGGGCACCCCGTACTCTTCCGGTGGCCCGCTTGCTTGGTGTCGTGCAGGCTCAGCCGGTCGCAGTGCCGCCAAGGCTGGGCAGTTCCGGGCCGGTCACGTATGCACGGAGCCGTGTTTGTTGCAGGCCCCTTCTTCACCCCTTGGTTTGATTTTGGCGAAGGGCCACAAGCACGATGCATGAGGTGTAGGCGAGAGCATATGAAAGCGCCAGAAGCCCCTCAAGGTGAAGCTCAGCAAAGCCCACCTTGACAGTCAGCGCCGTAAATAAATACTTGAGAAAGCTGGAAAGGAAGCAATGTTCAGCAAGGGGCGCGTTGCCTGTGCGAGCAACTCCCTCCAGTGCTTGCGCACGCGCTGCAAGCAAATAAAGCTTTGAACGAGCTGCCAGTTGTGTTTACATTCGGCAGCAGGCCAGCATTCGCCTCTGGGCCTGCTGCTGCACCACAGGCGCGCAAGCAAGGGTTGGGCCTAACAAAAAGGGAGTTCAGCGCCGCAGAACCTTCGGTTACGCTTTCCGTTTGAACCCACTGCTTGCAAAGTTGAAGGCTTTGTTCTTAGCGTAAGCGCGCCAGAGTCGTGCTTGCCGCGTGGTTTGTGGACTGCACCAGGTTGCCGTGGGTGGGTGCGGCGGCAGCATCCTGAAAGCGACGGCTCAGAGAGCCGGTTATGCTTCACAGCCAGTCTTGCATACCCACTGTGTTGGATTTCGTGCTGAGGTGCTCCAGCCGTGCCTGCCGGACCAAGTGGCCCGCCGCCTGGGCCAACTGGTCCACCGCCAGCAGCCCTGCCTGCCGCCCTCCCTGCCGCCCTCCCTGCAGCCAGCAAGTCAACAAGTTGCCCTGCTTGTCCAACAAGGCCGCCATCAGGACCAGCAGGGCCACCACCAGGCCCAACAGGTTCACCACCAAGACCAGCAGGGCCTCTGAGCGCCCCACCAGGCCCTGCGGCCCTGCCTGTCGCGAGCAAGTCAGTGAGCGCTCCTGCTGGCCCAGGAGGACCACCACCAGGGCCATCAGGCACACCGCCAGGACCGGCTAGTCCGCCACCAGGCCCTGCGGCCTTACCTGTCACGAGCAAGTCGGTGACGGCTCCTGCTGGCCCAGCAGCACCGCAAGGACCGTCAGGCCCACCGCCAGGCCCGGCTGGTCCGCCAGGCCCTGCAGCCCTGCCTGTCACGAGCAAGTCAGTGAGCGCTCCTGCCGGCCCAGCAGGACCACCACCACCAGGACCAGCTGGTCCTCCACCAGGCCCTGCAGCCCTACCAGTCACAAGCAAGTCGGTGAGTGCTCCTGCTGGCCCAGCAGGACCACCACTAGGACCATCAGGCCCACCACCAGGACCAGCTGGTCCTCCACCAGGCCCTGCAGCCCTACCAGTCACAAGCAAGTCGGTGAGTGCTCTTGCTGGCCCAACAGGTCCGCCGCCGGGACCGTCAGGTCCACCGCCGGGCCCAACTGGCCCACCGTCGGGGCCGACTGGACCACCACCGGGTCCTGCTGCTCTGCCCAAATCCTTTAGTGCTCCAGGGCCGGCTGCTCCCCCACCAGGGCCTGGAGGTCCGCCACCAGGGCCTGCAGCCCTTCCTTCCACCAGCAAATCAATAAGCGCACCTGCCGGCCCAGCAGGGCCACCGCCAGGCCCTTCAGGCCCACCACCGGGCCCATTAGGCCCGCCACCAGGTCCAACAGGTTCACCTCCCCGACCAGCAGGGCCGCTTGGGTCACCACCAGGCCCCGCAGCCTTACCGGTCACAAGCAAGTCGGTGAGCGCGCCTGCTGGCCCTGCAGGACCACCATCAGGCCCATCAGGCCCGCCGCCAGGCCCAGCAGGATCGCCTCCTAGACCAGCAGGGCCAACTGGTCCACCACCCGGGCCAACTGGCCCACCGCCAGGACCGACTGGACCACCACCAGGGCCAACAGGATCACCACCAGGACCGACTGGACCTCCTCCGGGACCGACAGGACCGCCTCCGGGTCCAAACAGACCACCAGGACCAACTGGACCACCTCCAGCTGCCCTACCCAACAAACCTTCAGCACTGCCATCAACGCCATCAGCTCTTCCAAGCAAGCCTTCAGCGCTTCCAACACAACCATCAGCCCTCCCAACGCAACCATCAGCGCTCCCAACACAACCATCGGCACTTCCAAGACCTTCGGCACTTCCAACATCCTCACCAGCCGCACTACCCAAAAGCTCTTTCAGCAGCTGTGCTGCACCTTCGGGCCCAGCTGGCCCACCACCGGGACCGACCGGATCGCCAACACACGTTTCCTCAAGCTCACCAACACATTTTTCAAGCAGCGCCCCTCCACCAGGCCCCATGGGCCCGCCGCCTGGTCCCGCAGGCCCGCCGCCTGGTCCCTCAGGCCCACCACCTGGGCCGGCAGGCCCGCCGCCAGGGCCGTGCGGTCCGCCGCCTGGCCCTACAGGCCCACCTGCGGCAATGCCTGGTGACCAGGACATCTCGATGTTGCCGGCAGGGAGCTAACACCTGTTTCATAGGGCATGCGACGCGTAAACTTGTCGGTGCAAACAATGGAAACTTCCACGAATGCAGTGGCTGCTGCCAGCCAGCTCAGATGTTGGAAAGGTGATGAGTTCTGCTTGGAATTGGCATGATGCGCTTGTTGCAAGGACGGGAGCTCCAAGGCCTGCTCGCGCTTTCAGCGTTGCGCTTTTGTAGCTTAATTGCGGCTGAACTTTGGGTGAGCAATTCCTTTGAGCTGGCCAAATTGCCACACATGCCAAAAAACTGTCCCACAGCAGCGTGAAGCTCGGACCTTTGATTGTCACTTGTGCTTACAATCGTTCGGATGCCCGGAAGTGGCCTCTCGCATCCTCATTCAGGCGGAGGCCAGAATGGAAGCAGCTGCTCGCAAAAAGGCGGAGCTTGACGCCAAGATGGCTGCAAGACACAAAGAGGCGCAGCCACGTCTGAGCGACGAGCGTTTCATTGTTTGCTGTTAGGGAAGGGGCATCAAGGTACTTGGGGGTCACAAGCCGTTGGAAGATGTTGGAAGCAGAGTTGTTTGATCACAGTTTGCTGTGCTCAATGACTTATGTTGCCAATACTTGCTTGTGCGTGCGATGCAAGGTGTCGCATTACAAGGGCGAAGCCGCCCATATGAACTGATGCTGCGCCTGTTTACTTGGAGCCTGCAGCGACTCCTCTCTTCAGTTTGGACCGGTTTCGAGTGGCTCACCACTTCTCTTACTCTTGAGACCTTCCGAAACAAGGCTCCGTGCCTCCTGAAAACCAGGCTGAGGAGCGCCGCGCCCGGGCCAAGGCCAAAGCCGCCGCTGGGCAGCCCGGTCAAGACAGGGGTCCCTATAAGCTATACTTCCATTTTGGCGGTTTTTAGGCATCACCTTTTTGGCCCATGAACGGTTGGTGGGGGGGTGATGTTTTAAGGGGCAATAGGGAGCCCTGAAAGAGGGCCTCTGGGTGCTCAGTAGCCCTAAAGTTGATAAGGCTGAAGAGTCGGTAAAAAAGGTTTGGTGATTGATTGAGCGTTTTTTGAGATGCAACGGGAGAACAGCCTGCTTTTGCGCTTTCGAAAGCCCATCCATCGAAAGCCCTTCCTGAAGCCTCCAAATTTGACACACTCCCACATACTCCCACGTGGCCTTTTGGCGAGCTGATTCATCACCTTTGTTGGCCTGTCACGGTTCAAAGCTGGAGACCCTGTTGAGGCTGTGAAAGGTTAGGGGAGGGAGTCAAATGAGAATATTGCGCACTAGGTGATCAGGTGATGAGTTCAAGAGGCGAAGTGTAATTTAGAACATTCCTGCTTGGAATTGTTGGATCTCTCACGCTTGTTTTTGCCTTGTGCTGGCTGGAGGCATTGAAGGCAGTGAGCGAGGGTGCTGAGTCTTAGCCTGAGCTGCTCAATTGCAGCTTGTAGGCCCTTTGGGAGAGGGGGGGCCGGAGGAGATGATGCCGTCATCTCCTCAATCTTCCGGCTGTTCAGTGGGGAAGTGCGGCTTGTGATATTTCAGTGAGGCGATGCATTCAAGCAGCTCCCCCCTGGAATGCTTGCAGGCCTTGGCCAATACAGCGTCTTTCCGGAATCAGCACACGGGACAAAGCTCTCCTTTGTGCAATTTCCCGCTCAGAGCCTCACTCGAGGGCACTGCGCGGGCTCGCAGATCCATCGATGTCGGCTGTCGTAGGAAGAGCTCGTTCATTGCTGCAATTTGCGTTGCACTGGTCCCATGAGTTTGCACAGTCGGGGTTTCATGGGTCAACACGGACAGGCACTCTTGAGATCCCATAATCATACCGCACATGCCCTCCATTGACCCAGACAAAAATTGGAATAATATGCGTGGGGCAATCCGACTGATGTTCTGGCAAGCACACGGTGTCAACAGCATCTTGGAACCCCTTCCAGACAGCCCACAAGAACCTGGTAATGTCACCGCGCCTCTGGTCTGGCCAGACATGAAGTTGCATCATCCCAGGGCACACTCTGAGTTGCGCCGCAGATTCGGAGCGATTTGATCTTCCGAGGGCACTCGGTTTGACTGACTGACTGACTGACTGACTGACTGACTGACTGACTGACTGACTGACTGACTGACTGGCTGGAGGTCGCGAGTTTCGCAAGCCGCAGGCAGGTTAGTTTCTGACTTGCTGGCAAGCAGTAGAGAAAAGTGCTCACAGCAAGCCACGGCCTGACAGCAAGAGCACTGTGTTGCTTTGTTCCGCCTTCTTTTGCCAGCCAGATGGTTTTGTGCCTTTGCGTGGGATGCACCGCACACGAGTTGCAAAGTGAACTAAAGCAAGACACGTCAGCCTCAACTAGCTGTTTGTACAAGCTTGTCATCATAAGTACCTGCTTCGATACCTCACTCAACGCCAGAGTGGATGAAACAAACGCCATTTGCACCAGTATGTTTTGTTTCCAGCTGGGCACACCAAGCACAAGTCTGGAATGAGCGTCAATTGCAGGTCAAATGCTTCGTGTAGATCATTCGGACCCACGATCAGGCCCAGCGTCAGGGTGTTTAATGCTTTCGGAACTTTGTAGCTAGGGCAAGCATTGGCGGTAGGTGGACTGTTCAGAACCGAGGGGGAGCCTCGTCAGGCGACAATCATGCATGTCGACCAAGTCTGGACGGATGTTGATGGCAGTGTGTACTCGTTGCTTTTGCTTCTGCTGGCCTTTTCTCGAGTGCGACCCAAGCTCGCTCCCCCTTTCAGGGGGGTGAGCACTGCGCATGGCACGCCATGCAGCGCATTCAGGCATGTGCAGGGTAGTGCTGAGCCTACTAGCCCCAAATCCCGACATACTGCAACCGCATAATAATCGGTACGGACACTGAAATGCCAAGCACTATGCTGGATGATGGGTGCAAGTTTTGACTAACGGGGCTTTGGGCTCTGTTGGCACAGCTAGCCAAGTATGAGATGTGAAGCGGGCTTGCGTTGAAGGCTTATCGGGGTCAATATCGGGGCGGGTGATGCCGGCTGATCACTGTCATAGGGTTGGTTTTCAGTCCCCCCACTCCCTCATGCCACCCGTGGGGAAGCGGGACTGATTGCGGTTTCAATTCAAGCGAGGGCGCGAGCCATCCTGGGCTGGGTGCCAAATAGTCTCTCTGTTTTGATTGCCCAAGGGACGCCACAAGGGATGGGTGATTTTTTAACCGCCTGATTGACACTCAGCGAGGCTTGTGGCGTTAAGTGTGTTCCTCTTTCTAGCTGGCAATTTGTGCAGGACGGCACGGTGAGCCCACGGCGAGATGCCGGGTGCCCAGCCAGTTCGGTGCTGCAGACCTGGGAGGGCTTGGGCACTGCCTTTGGCTCTTCTCCATTTTGCAGGGTTTTCCAGACATGAGCACGCATCATTCAGCCAATATCTCCTGTTTGCAAGGATGATGGATCTTCGGACAGCACCTTGCCTGCACAAAAGAACGGGGCTGAAAGCGCATGTTTGCTAACGTCCAAGTTGGACATCACATGGTCGGTCTGCTATTGCCACAACTTACATTTGCCGCCACACCGCGGCCGCCATGGCCGCTTAACTTACTGAAGCGCCAGCTATGCAAAGTGTGTGTGTGTGTTCTTTGGGGTACCCCCTGTTTGAGTTGGTTTAACGGGAAGCCAAAAGGAAGCCCCTCATTTCAGGCCTCTACGATTTTGACACATGCCTGATCAGTCAAGGCATCCGCAGCTCCAAGAACACGGTATCACCTCGCTTTATGCGAGGGCTCCGCCTTCCGCCTTTGGCTCCTTGGCCTGCGCCCTGAGTGTAGGCTGTGATGATCGGATGTATCCTGTGTGGAGCTGCCCGAAATTCTGGTGACCGGCTCACGTGCATATGCAGGTGTGCATTATGATTATTTTTTAGGGGGGGTACGTTCCCATTTTTCACGTATGCGACAAGCGCAACACAAAAACTGGTTTTGAACATAGTTCAGTTGAACTGGCTCAAAGGACAGTTAGGGCAAAAACATGCAAAAACTAATTTCCCTTCTCTCTTGCAACCAGAGGGCATTGGACGGTTCGGCCGCTGAGCTAGAAATTAGCATTGGCAACGTCGTCGTCGTGGTTGACCATGGTTAATTGTCGCTGTCGTAGTTGTCAGTGTGGTCGCCGTCGTCGTCGCCGTGATCGTGGTCGTGGTCGTGGTTGTGGTCGCTGTTGTGGTTGTTGTTGTTGTTGTTGTTGTTGTTGTTGTTGTTGTTGTTGTTGTTGTTGTTGTTGTTGTTGTTGTTGTTGTTGTTGTTGTTGTGGTCGTCGTCGTCGTCGTCGTCGTCGTCGTTGTCGTCGTCGTCGTCGCTGTTTCTGTTGCTGTTGCTGCTGCTGTCGCTGTTGCTGTTGCTGCTGCTGTGGCTGTGGCTGCTGTTGTTGCTGTTGTTGCTGTTGTTGCTGTTGTTGCTGTTGTTGCTGTTGTCGCTGTCGCCGTTGTTGCGATGGTAGTTTGGTTGCGCTGGTGGCTTGGGTGGTGGTGATGGTGGTTGTGGTGTCGGTGTTGGTATTCTCGTTCGCTTTGTTGTAGTCGCCGTGGCTTTTGTTGCAACATGTTTGTGTGCTTGGGTCGTATGGTGGCAAGCTAATGTGTTACAGCCATGCTTCAATGTAACATCTACGTCGTGTCCAGAAAGATGCTTCTAACACGGCGTCTCCAGTTCTGCGGCTAGTTCAAGAGGGTTTTTGGCACGGGTACCTTTTTTTTTGTTGTTGTTGTGGGGCTGTGCACCAAGCCTGTTTTGCAGTGTTGCCTTCAAGATGCCTTGGGTGCCCAAAGCAAGGCTGCCCAGACAGAGGAGGCTGGAATGAAGCACTTGCTGGAGGAGACTTTGCTGCCACTTGATTTCCTGGCTGCCCCCTCAGTACTTGATCTCTTGGCTGCTTGCTTTCCACTTGAGCTCCCTTCTCATGCCGAAGCTCCTGCATGTGATCAAGAGCCACCTGTGAGTCTGACTTCTTGCAACGGTTACCTTTCCCTTCTCTGGCGAGGAGACGCCCAGCAAATGGTTTCTCGATGACCAGCGGCTTGAATGGACGTACTGCTCCGCACGGGGGCTAAACCGCGAGAGTTGAGAAGACACACACGGCATCACAGCTTTGCACCAAGGAAGTATTGCAGAAGAGAAGTGTTGGAGGAGAACGTGATTGATGAGGAGATGCTCAAGCGGATCGATTTTTTCCGCTTCTTGGCGGGCCATCATGGTCATAGCTTGTCCCGCACAGCCAGTGGGGACCGGTCGCAGGGAAGGGCATGTTGTTTTCAGGGTGCAACCAGTGGGTGGCAATTCTCCAGCAAGATGTCGAGCATCGTTCTTTCATGCGTTAGGCATCAAATGGCTAGCGGCTAAGGCCCTTTGGACTCTAGAGGACAAATACATAGCACGAGTGCCGCATCAGCTCGCACATGTGTACCCCAACTCAGGCAACTTTGGACCAACATTTCTGGACGAGCTACTCAGTACTCCAGCGCCAGCCTCAGAATACTGGAAGGTGATGTGAAGAAAGTGGTTTTAAAGCAGGGGCCCTTTCGATTGCATTCCTGTCGGCTTTAAGGTTTGCAAGGCAAACGCAGCGGTCCCTTGTTTCGACATGTCGAAAACGACTGGGGGGGTGGTTTCACAGCCAATCATTTCGAATGGGTCTCTCGAGGCAGTGCAAGTTGTGACCACTGGTTGGCTGCCAACATAGAATGCAACCCTAGTAGGGGATGTGCCCCTCAGAATGTGGGAGCCTGGCTCCCATTCAACGCACCTCCCTCCTTTCAAGCTAACAAATCGACTGGCAAGTGCGAAGGATTGAAGCGCAGAACATATACGAGACCGATAGTAGATAGTCATACCAGTATGTTTTTTTTGGTCTTTGTCATTGTCAGAGAATGCGTTTGATTCGGTGTCGTGGTGTTCAAAGCGTGCATTTCTTCATGTTCGCTATGTTCCGATGCTGGGCTATCACAGCAAATTTTTTCCGGTGAACCTCAGTGACACTCAGGAATCAAGCTGGCTGCTCTGAATTAGAGGGCTTGCTCAGGCTTTGCCAAGGTTTCCTGATTTCTCCTTGTGACATATGCTTGTCTATGTTTGTCTCGTTCGCCAAATTAAAGTGAGTTTCCTTTTGGTGGGGTGATGCTTATAGGCCTGTTAGTCACCCCCGCGGTAGTTAGATCACCAACTGGGCTTCCTTGTGGTGGGTTGGGATGTTTATCCCATGGGCTAAGGAGAGCATCCGCAAGGTGCTGGTGATGCCGGGCACTGTGCTGCTACGCGAGGGAGCCTCTGGAGACTCCATGATGGTCATCTCGAAAGGCGCAGGGCTTGGACAGGGCGGGCCCCCTCAATGACAATTTGTTGGACAGAAGTGGCGCTTTTCGTGGAACCCACAAGGGTTTAAGTCTATATGGGCAACCAACAAGTGGAAACCGGCGACTTTAGAGGTCACACTCCCCGAGCCCAAAAAGGGGGGTCAAGAGGAGCTTCCTCTCAAAATGATAGTTTCCCAGGCCCCCTGTCAGTGTGTGGGGGGCAATCAAATCATGGTTTTAGGGGATCCTTGATTTACACTAAAGGCTGTGTTAGTGCAGGAAGCTGAGTGCATCGCAATGGTTTCGAGAGATGTCCCTTCGAAAGGCTGTGACTTGGTGGTTGATCCTCCCAGTCCGAGGCACCGACAGGTATTAGCACACTGGATGTAACGCATCTTGAGGTAGATTGGCATTGTCCGGATTTGCCCATATTCGAAGGTGTTCTTGCCACATGGCTCGGGCTGGCAGGTTGGTGTCAGTTGCTTGGCACAGCTGGTCAGCAAAACGGACCTACACATACTCGGCTTTGCGATGCTTTCCCTTTCAGGGTGTTGCAATTGACCTGACACATATAATTAACTTCACATGACCGTGATGCCGACTTTGTCTGACCTCCAGAAAGCTTACCCGTGCATACTGGCGCAACAAAGCAAGCTAGCATGGTTTACCTTGAAAGTCGTCTCAACTGGTCGTTGACACTACGGGGGAGTTGGAGCTTTGAAGGAACTGACACGTGGTGGCCAAGAGCAAGTTGAGTACATGTGGGTCAGGATTTTTCCAGGCACGTGCGTCAAGCCGCTTTTGCCGTGGTGTTTTTGGGAGTCAGGCCGGGTGGCCGCATCAGTGAATGGCCGCGTGGTGAAGCACCTGGGTGAGGGCTCCTATTTCGGCCCCTCGGCTGGATTCTGCATGGCTCCAAGCGCGTTGACCCATGGACCCGACCTTCGGATGGCCGTCTAACGGGCCGTCAGGTAGTCAGCGCGGGCATTGCTTGCAATCTTCAAAGGTCAGGGTACAGTGTACAGACAATCATTTGGCATCCTGGCCGGTCCCATTTAGAACCCATTCAGCAGGTCACGGGGTCCAATGGACCAGCTCGAAGGGAGCTAAAGGGAAGCTAGTCTATTTCAATTCCCATGTAGGATCCAATCGACTGAAATCTCCTCCACTACTTGTTTTAGACTTTTGTTGCCCAATTTGGAAGTAAGCCCAAAGCGCGCATTCGGTTCGACGGCTAGGTGAGTTGGTCTTCCTTGGCGCCTCGCTGGTGCGCTCCGTTACAGTCACCGCCACCACCTTCTGCGACGTGCGCATCATCTACCACCGCTCCTTCCAGCGGAGACTTGGCCATTGGGCAACGCCGCTTCAAGGTGTCAAAGTGCGGGGGTCCGCCAAAAAACGGGGCAATAACACGGCTGCCAATGCGGTTTCTTGCTTGGCGGGGCATATGTGCCCGGCCCAAGCACTTCGTACGACACACACACACACCTTCCCAGAGCAAGTGTTGGTTCAATACATGTTCAAACTCAGGGCTCTTGCAAACTCCAAAGTGCTCGCGTTCCGGCCACATCGCCCAGCCGCCAAAAGCAGAGGGATTCCCTCCCTGCAGGTTCCCAGGCAGCAAATGGGTATGAATCAAAATAGGGGACCCCCAGAAGAAGATCATTTCCCTCTTAGCTTCCCTTCAAACCATCCTACACAGGGTGCCCTCTAAGAAACAACCCTCTCCAACAAGAAGCAATCATTTCAGGTTGGTTCCGAGGACAAAACTGCAAGTGTATACAGTGGCCACTACTACTCAGCACTTAGCCACTCCACCAACCGCTTCTTGACCAAGGATTGCCGACAAGTACCCCGAGGCGCTCCTTCGAAACAGAATGTCAGGGCTGGCTCATGCCAATCAAACGTAACATCGCTTGAAATGTCTTGGTTTGTTCAGGCTGCAAGAGGCAAAGACCTTTGCACAGGTATCAGCATTAGCTTAGTGCATTTGACTTGGGTGCAGCGCACGCCCACTGTAACAAACATAATGCGGACCGCCCACGCCCAAAGGGTTTCAACCATCACGCAGGTGCAGGCCACCCTGAACAAGTTCGATTTGGCCCAGTGCGACCTCAGATTGAATGCGAAGGCTTGGGTGAATGCTTCGACCGAGCACAGTCAAGTAAACCCACAAGCGGCTTCAGGGGCCTGCCCAAACAGTTGAGCTATCATCTTTCAAGCGGCACCCGGCCCGCGCCAGGCAGCCAGCAAACTGGGCAAGGCGCTGGCTGAGGCCCTGGCACAAGTCTTTCAGCCTCTCGGCGGAGATGGCTGCCTGTTCGTTGCCTTTATAGGCGGCTATGTTTTTGTTGCTGTGTGACAGAATGCGCGTGCCTGGAGCACCCATGAACGGCTGCCGGTTGGGTTGCAGGGGAGGCGCTTGTATAGGGGAGCCGTGCGGATGTTGATTTTTTGGCCAGGGCGAGCCTTGACCTTGAGTTATGTAGATTAGCGGTGCCAAGAGGTTGTAAACAGGATTGGCAGGCAAACTTGCCAAATGCTGTACGAGTGGCTTTTTGACGCGCGCGAGTGGAGTGTGCCAGTAGGGCGTGCGAGTGTGCGAGTGGACTGTGCGAGCGAGCGGACGGGTGGACGAGTTGGTCGAGTGACTCCACTCGTCCGCTCGACACTTGCACCCGAGGAGTGTTTGATCAAGCTGCCTGAGTGGCGGGAAGGAAAGGAAACCCAAACCCATGGTGTTGCTCAGCTTGGGTTTCAGCTCTGCTTTGAACTGGCCTTGCGTGAGTGAAGTCTGGCAAGGCTGAGGGTAGGCGCGCAAACTGGTTTTAACAGGCTTCTTTCAACACACTAGTCAGAGTGTGCCGCCCGGGCGTTTGGAGGAAGATCGGGCCTGGAACATGTGTTTGCAATGCTATTATTATTGTTATGTTTTGTTTGTTCCGGAAGCTGTTTCCTTCGTCGATTCCATTTCATCCTTTTGTTGAGTTGCGTCTTGAACCAAATGCCGCTTGATTGCGTGATCCTTTGGTTTTTACTCACGAGTATTCCGTCCAAACGTGCAATTGCACACTGGGTTGGCATGTTCGCGCAACGAACATACAGCATCTCCCGCTAAGGGGCATCCATGAGACTCAGCGCCTCGTCGGCACAGGGACATTGCCTTGAGCTAGCCTGATGGTTGGCTAGTTTGCCGCCAGTCAAAATGAAACGGGGCCTATGTCAGATGCGCGGAAAGGCCCGGTTTGCTTTAGACACTTTTTGGAGCCATTGGCTAAACTCAATTTGTTCAATACTTTTAACATCGGACCAATAGAATGTCTAACTTCAGATTAGAAGGGCCCCGGCAGCTGTGTCACTGGCCCACGGGTCAGCTGAATGGAAGCCACGTTTTTCGGTCCTCATTGTGGCTTTGAATCTGCCATTGGCTTCGTGTGATTGGTTGATGTGCTGGCTGATTGGTTGGCTGGTTGATGGGCAGGGCATCCAAGTTGGAAGCTAGCTACCCTAGAACACCCCTTACAACTTTCCCCAGCCGAGGCAGCCACATTTGGACCCTTGGACCGCCCACCTTAGCCAACCTCAAGTCCAAACCAAACCTCCACCCTGAATCAATCCTGATCCCGCTACAGTAACTCGGGATTTGATGGTAAGAATACAATCTTTGTTTGAAATGATGAGAAACTCAAGGTGAAAAGAAAGAGACAGCGACGTTGCAGTTGCATCTCACGCAAGCTTGGCTTGGCAAACTGCCTGCTGAAAGTGTGTGTGTCAGTCTTTCGTGATTGTTTTCTTGGTCTCACCATGACTCGCTTCGAGGTGTTGATAGGTGTTGCTAGCCACTGTCCGGCCCTTGTTTGAGTCTGACGGCGTAGCAGCGGCCTTTTTCTTTTCGTTGCTCTGGTGGAGAAGGCGTGGTTGGCTGTGCGTTGCTTCTCCCGAGGAAGAATGCAGCCTCCCGGCTCACGCTCACCTCACCCAGAAAGCGAGGGTTGTCGGGCCTGAAGTGAGATGTGCGGGTTCCAAGAAGGGTTTCAAGGGCACCAGACGCGACGCCTGTCTCATCACCGGAATGAGCAGCTCAGCAGTTTCAACTGAGAAGCTGTTGCTGTTGGAGTATTTGAGAAAGCGACCCTCTGTCGAGGAGAACAGGGAGCCCCGTTGCTGGATCGAATGGCGCTTGACGAAGTCAACCAGCACATTTTTTGCGGCACAGGGCCATGCCCCAGCGCTCAGCAGCGCCGAAGACCGGCGAGCAGCTGTCAAAATGTGAGAGAGGCAGAGGCATCGCAAAGCATGGGACAAGTGACAATTTGCCCATGTATTGTCACACCCCCGATGTCGCTGTCTTTGATGTAATTACGTCGCAATGTTTGGGGTCCACGCTGCAACTCAGCTTTTCAGGCTCAAGCAGACAAGTTGCACATCCTACATTGACCTGACCTCAACACAGCCTAGAATCTAAGATCAGCAAGACTGATCGTTGCTTGTCAAAATGAGGTGGCCATGGGTGGATTCGCACAGAACGAGAGTGGCACTGACACGCACACACACACACAAACACCTCCATTTCCTTAGGATGTTTCTGCAAGAGGTGACTCTCCTTGACCAGTTGTTCATGGAAGCTAACTTGCATGGAAGCATCCTTGCACAGTTCAGTTCATTCGGACATGGAATGGGAGCAGCGCAGTCGCAGAGTGATGCAGCCTTGCCTGAGGGGAGGGCTTGAGAGGCGCTAGAGCTGCCCTGGCCTTGAAATTCACAGCTGAACATGTGACGTGTTGAGCATGCCTACATGCCAGTTGAACATGCTGGATGCGCCGTTGCCGAAACCATGGATGTGGCTGAACGGTTGCCACGAGACGAAGAAGACCGTCCTGGCACAAGTGTACACAGAATAACAAAGGTAGTGAAATTTCAATTCTGCCAACTGACTTTGGGCTCAACTTGCAAACAACAGAAAGTGCACTTGCATAGAAAGCTCAACCTTCTTGACTGCTCTTTTTGGGCTGGTGGTGTATAGGATGCACACCTTTGCAATACGTAGAAAGCCGCATAGGCTGTCAGGTGCAACTTGCCAAGCGGGCACCTGATGCTACATGATGCTACAACTGCCCCCCAAAGTTTGCATTCACTGCACGCTGGCCCTAGTCCGAGCTGAAGTTTAAATCCCGAATATATTATGGATATATAGGGGCGGTGTGCTGTCACAATGTGCCTGGCAGAATTCCCCTTTCCTTCTCCATCCCTGACCCGCCTGCACGCTCCACCTTGCGTCCCTCCAAGTCTGGTCACCCAATACAAATGGCTCCAGATCGCAAAGCTTGCAACACTTCACCCGCAGTGTGGTCGAGATGTTTTGGTTTCCCTCGACTTTCTAAGGTGGTTTCCACTCCCCCCCCCCCCAAACCACCCGCAGTGGAAAGCTGAGGTAACCATAAATATATAGTTACAGCAGGTAAACCACCTTTTTCTGGTGGCTCTCCGAGTCTCCCGTTGGACGCTTGGGGGTTCCGGAGTAGAAGCCATCGAAGCAGCCACGCCCTTGCCCGAGGCACCAGCGGCGCTGCAGGTGGGTGGCCTGCTGCGCCTGTGCGGCACAGGGCCCAGATGGGAAGGCCTTGCCCAAGGGGTCGTGGCGACTTTGGGTGTGGCTCGTTTTGGTTGTTGCTCGGCGCCAATTGTTTGGCGTTTTTTTTTGGGCAAACGCAAGGAACACCAGTTTGGAGTTTGGGGGTCCTGGCAAGAGAAGGATTCATGGGCTGAGCAATTGTAAAGGCCGGCCGAGGATGGCACAAGCCGGGGAGATAATTTGACTAGTGTGTTTGTGCACAGCTTACGTCCAACAAGAAAGAACCAGTGTCCGGCCGGCCGGATGGCCTGCGTGAAGGGCACGAAGCAAGGGCGTTCCACTTTGTTTTGGATGGTTGCATCGTCCTGAAATGCGTCTAAAACAGAACCTGGGAAAGTGAAGGTTGGGGGAGGACGGTCCCACCAGATATAGGTGCAGCCACCCTTTAGATTCTGTGCAAGTTTTTGGGTAGACAATTTTAAATCCAAGTTTTATTGCGACGCTGGTGTTACTGGCGCTGCCCACGGCACGTGAGAGGGACTCTTTGGAGCACACCGTTGAAATGTGAAACGATGAATGTTTGAGCAATACCTCAGGGGGCCCTAAACAGTTCCAGTGAACAGGTTTCAGCTTGCGCCCAAAGGACAATTATGTATGTAGCATCCTAGGACCCATGTAAACCTGTGTAACGGGTCACCCAAATGACGTTTGTTTCTGTATTTCTCCGCCAGCTGGCAAGAGGCAACCCATCTTTGGCAGCTTATTTGGGGTGTGTTTTTTTTTGGGGGGGGGATGTTTCAAACAGGAAGCCAACGAAGCGTTATCCAGATGAAGCACCGTCAAAATTACTTCTGTTGAGTTTAGTATTCGTCGTTTCGTTGATATTGTGAAAATGCACAAAACCATGGCAAACGATAGGGGACTCTCAAAACAACGATACCCCTGGAAAACGATGGACATGCTGGAAAACGATAGGGGACTCTCAAAGTAAGTAGCGAAACGGCCGTAAGTAAGTAATTTTGACCGTGCCTCAGAAGAAGAGAGGCTGTTTGCCCGAGCTTTCTGGATACAGGGTGAAATGTTCGGTATGCTACTGCTTCCTGGCAGGCCGGCAGATCAATGCAAAAATCGCTGCTCGGCAATGAGGTCAGGCAAGACAGCTTGAGATCTAGGTTTCGCTCGGTCCACTGTTGTCATTCTGCACGTGCGCCTGTGGTTGCGGAATGGTGGTTTGTTGCTGGGGGCACTGAGCATCACACGAGATGCCAAGCTGTTTGATGATGGACTGGATTGTTGTAGCAACGCGGGGGATCCTGCCACCATGTGCTTTTGAGCAACTCTTCCTAAGGCTGACATTCGCAAGCGCGGAGCTCAGTTGCCTAGGGGAAAGTCGATCTTTTCCAGCCATAGCCTGCAGGCGCTGAGGCTCATGTGATGGTGCACCGTGCACGACGCACGATTTGAAGATGCTTCCTATGACGATTGTTTGGGCGGCTGTTGATGCTGGGGTGCATGTGGCCTTTGCGTTTTCAGGGCGCACCGGGTCGGACAATGTGGCATGGGCGAGGGAAGTCTTCGAGTTTCTTGCGTCGGCACCTTCCGCGTCTCACCGAGGTCTGACGACACGGTGAGGCTTGCCAGCAAGGCCCAGGCGCAGAAGGCAAGAGTCAGAGGTGTGTCCTACGGTTCACGTTTCTCCGCATGCCGCGCACAAATTAGAGTTCCTAAGGAAAGTGGAGTACCTCATCGGGGGCTTCAAGCGCTTTCCACGGACAAAGCTGGAAGAGCTAATCGTGAAGCGACCTAGCCACTCCCACTCCATCAAGGCGCCGTGGCAAATCTGCAACTCGGAGCTCGAGCTACCCTATGCCCTCGAAATCACAGGGGTTCGTTTGCCGAGTGTGGCACCTGGGTACAAGGATGTAAAATGGAAAATCGCCAGTCGCAACCTGCAAGTGGTGCGATTGGATGATAAGCCAGATGCTCCCACTTGCATGACTTTGGCCGACTGAACATTATGCAATTATCAGAGCCAAACAAACAGCGGTGTCAGAACAAGCCTGGCTACGAGCCTTCCGTCCTACGACCGGCCAAGCATTCCTCAGAGAGCTGTTTGATCGAATTGCATGTTCGCTTGCACTCTGACGGGCCATAGGCATGCTGCCGATGTTTGAAGCAAGCTATAGTAAGAAAGTTGCTGATGTTGAACAAGCGTTGGTGGTGTTCATTACTAGCAATGCGCTGGCAATGTCCTTGGCAATTCAAGCCGATTTCATTTTGTTTCTTGGCAGGCCGGATGCGGGTGGCTAGTGGGCCGAGAAGTGTTGCTCTTTCCAGCCCTTGTGGCGGTCAGCGAAAACCAAGGATGTGTTTAGTTTGGGGGGGGCGGGGGGGGAAGTTGTACGCGAAAAGTTCATTGGTCATGCTTTGTGACACCTTGCAGGACTTCCAGGCCGGGCAGCACCTTGTCCTCCATGGCTTCGGCCCTATGGACAGCAACGTGGCTGTGGTTGCCACCTGGCTCACGCGATGCCAAAACATGCGGCCCTGGGCTGGAGCTCGGCAATAGAGGGACCCCTGCTCGGGGGATTTTAGGATGTTGGAGGCTACATAGTTCAAAGTGTTATGAAGAATATTCAGCTTGCCTGCGCATGTCTCTCTGTTTGTTTGTCCGTCCGTCCGTCTGTCAGTCTCTCTGTCTCTCGGTCTGTCTGTTTGTCTGTCCGTCGGTCTGTCTGTTTGTCTGTCGGTCCGTCCGTCCGTCTGTTTCTCTGTCTGTTTGTCTCTCTCTCTTTCTGTCCGTCCGTCCGTCCGTCTGTCTGTCTGTTTGTCTGTGTTTGCGTGTCTGTCTCTGTGTGTGAATGTGCCTGTGGCTGTGCGCAGGTGTGTGTTGGCGCGTGTGTGTGTGTGTGTGTGTGTGTGTGTGTGTGTGTGTGTGTGTGTGTG